TTATTTCTATTCAAAAACAGTGACAGTTGTTAACATTTAACGTACTGGTAAACGAGGTGATGGGAAAGGTGAACTGAAGGTGACTAGGAGGTGTTTAAAGGAGCCAGATGGAGCTTCTGTGTAGCAATGGGAGCAGCGGGCACCAAGCATGACACTTCCTCTGATCATAAAGTCTGTTAATGAGGTGAGGCTGTCTGCTGTACCTTAACACTCGTCATGACCTTGATTCAAACAATGACAATGTGAAATGTGAAAGAATACATGGCCACGCCTCCCACTCATTTACACATCCAGAGTCCTAGATATGAAGTTTGAATGTGTTGGGAAAGCCATTCAGACAGAGCTCAGTGGATGTCCGCTTTAAGACAGATGAGACACGTGTAAAGTACTCCACAGCCTGCCGCGTGTAGCCTCTGGGTGTGAGTGGGCGTCTTCCGCTCCTGTGATGTTTGATCCTTGCTCCCATTGCTATAAGTGACTTGTATAAGACAGGAGTCATCCTTCTATATCCATGCACTTTTGTGAGGTGGACTGGCTTTTGTAATCTCACGCACAAAACGCTAGACAAGAGCTTTAAAAATACCCTAAAGATGGATGAGAAGTGTTTCTAATCAGTGGTTATCTCTCAGTACAGGTACCTCCACCAGTGCTCTTTGGATTATATAGAATTATTGCTAAAACTAGAATGGCCCCTTTTTGTCTTAGTGGAACAAAGGGATAAGAGATGAAATTTGAAAAGCCATCTTACTGAAAAAAAATATTGCACTAAGCTGAGGATTGCCAACGTCATATAAGCTAACACTCTACAGTTTCGTTACTGTGCTGTCGTCTGCATATGCGTCACAGCCCTTCACGTATAGGAGGCACGGGCCAAAGGAACAGAAAGAGGCAGCATTCATGTTGGGCTAGGCAATATTTATTCCATTTTTCTCTTGTATTGATTGATAACTGTTTTCTATTCAGTGTTATTTTGTTAGTTTGTCTAATTAAAAACAAATAAAATCGATTTGAGTATTATTTTCCTTAACATAAAGATACTAATCATTTCTCCAAAATCTGTCAAATTTCTTTCCACGATTTTACAGAGAGGAGTAGCTGTACACCTTGAAAAGATGATTTAAACATTAAAATGTGATTTTTAACATAAGTGCATTGTGTTTTGGTGGAGCTTCCCTTGAATGGTTTGTTGTTGAGATGCTATTGCTTTGTCTGGAGATCAAACCAGATCAAGTTACAGATCAGATCTGTGGAGAGGCGACTCTGCTCACAGTCACAATACCTGTTTTTCTGCGTATTTTAGAGCTATAAAACATAAAACATAAAACATAGAACATTCCAGACAAAGCAATGACATGACAGCAATGACCCCCAACCAAAAAGTAACACAGTGCATCTTCTAAATAATAATATATATTTTTAATTCATATAAAATGGTATTAAACGGTGTAGCCCTATATTCAGACAAATATAAAGTACAAGATTTCCAAGGCTCCACTCAGCTTCTGCTCAGCTCTTTCCATATCACCAGACGAGACCTAATTGTTCATCTATTTCCAGGGCAGCAATCAGTGTTACCTGCTAACCTTATGGGCCCGAGCTGTCTATAGACGCCAAATAGACTGGACATCATCCAGGGGAAATGAAGCTGAGATGACTCATAAACTCGTCTCACAATTTCACAGGTATGGAACAGAATGTGACTCACAGCGTGTTTGCTTCATTTTGGGTACATTTTAGCAAATACAAATATATTTCAAATCATGATACATGGACACAGTTTATCTGTCAGTTAGGCTAGTGACAATACCCCCAGTTCCCCTGAACCAGTTATCCTAAAATTATAAATGAGCTTGAAAGCAGCTTTAATTATAAGCAGTAAATCTGAATGTAATAAAAGAGCAATCTACTTGTTGATGGTCAGGTACACAACATTCTTAATATTCTAGGTTTAGACTGCAACATTACTACTGATCATGTGGAGTAGAAAAAAAGGATGGCAGAGGCACTCTGATTTGTGGTATATTTATTGATTGTCACACCTACTACTACTACTGATCATGTTGCTGGCTTTAGTGTCATTAGAATTTTCAAGATTGCTGAATGTCTTTCCAAACTCTTAATTTCCATCTTACTTTATCTTGTGTAAAAGAGGTAACTACTACTGTCACAATAAGAGCCATGTCAAATTATTGTTCAATAGGCATATGAAAGCTGGTACAATACACTTTGGATCTCAAAATTAAACGTGTGCACAGTTTCTTGAATTTGGGTATTTTTGTTTTAATACAAAAAGATTTTAGCTTTAAAAGGTTTTAATAAGTGACTTCTGTTGCTATTTATTGTTTAATTCTGTGATTTATTTGTTGCAGCTCATACCTCTTAATGATACTGTCTAAAATGGTATACAAGGATTATCTTGCATTATCTTGCTTTGTATCATTGTCATAAAGTAGTGACAGGCCTCTGAGTAAAAAAAAACTTTATGCAAACAAATAAAGTAATTAAGAAATTATTTCAACAAGCCTTCTATTGATAACATATAAGTAGGCCTGTCACGATAACACATTTTGAAGCATGATACATTGCTACAGAGAAATATTGCGATACATGATAATGAACACAAAGCAGCACAAATCTCAGCAAACCAATTTTTAATTATACTGTATCATTAATAGGCATGATCTTCAATAATAAAATAAATAATTAGCCACAAAAGTTATTTATTCTACCCTCTATGGCTCAAATCTCTCATAACAATGCAGAAAAATGTCTAAAATCTCTCCACTATTGCAAAGAAATTGTACACATGTAAATATTAAGTATTTATACAGTAATTATCATGACATGCCTGCATATTAACTACGCATGTCATGGAGCTGATGCCCTTGAACAAGTCCACGTCTAATTGGCTGCGACGTGGAGCTGTTGACCTTTGCCCCTGGCGTGGAAGGGCCTCGTGTAAAGGCTTCAGACTGAACCACTCGATGGAGTATCCGATTATCAGCAAGTGCTTATCAATACGCTCCGTGCTGTATCATATAGTGTGGCGCAGTGGTAATGGAGCACTTCGGAGGAGCTGCCACTGCCGCTGTGAGAAGACAAGGAAACTCAGGTACTAATTCAGTGCTTATGAACTGCAAGTAGAAACACGTGTCCTCAATCAACACCTCCCCCCAAGCAACAGGAACTTTACCATTCAAATAATTGGGTGTCATGTAAAACATTTCAGAGTGGCAAAAAAAATAAAAAATCAGGTAATCAAATGTTGTTTTGCCTAGAATATTCCACAGTATGGCATAAAGCTTATCTTTCACCGTGGAGAAAAGCAGTAGACGCCACAAGGCCAAATTACAGCTCAGATCTGTGAAGAGGTGACCTGACGCAATGTAAGAATGCATGTTTTTCAAGGCGTTTTTGAGAGAAAAAAAAATCACCAGTAAATCTGCCAAGTCTTCTTCAATCTTTAAGCTGGTCTTATTGAAATAGCAGCATTTTTATTTGTTTATTTTTTGAGCCACATACCTTGATAACCACTTAAAGGTGCACTGTGTAACATATTATTAGTGAAGGTCTGCCTCCTGCTTGTCTCCATGGAAATGGAATTTCCTTTGTGTAGAATGTTCCACAGTATAGATTAAACCTATCTATCACAATGGAGACATGCAGATAACAGCACTACACTACATTACATTTCAGATCTATGGAGAGTCACCGCTATTCACAGAAGGAATTAATGTATTTGCAGAAACACCCATAATAAATAAATGCTAGATGGATATGTTTAACGTCATACCATGGAACATCCCAGGCAAAACAACATTTCAATGGAGACAACCATCTACCCGGAAAGTTACACAGTGGACCTTTAAGTAACAGTAATAGTGTTAGACTTGTTTGCACCACAGCACTAATGAGTTGTATTTTCCAGTGTCTTTTAACACAGAGCTGACAAGTGTTAAGTGTACTTAATTCACTTTGTGTTACTGATATGACTGTGAGGCGGATCTCCAATACTATTTTGGAGCATTACGTTAACACACAATACAGCTGAAGGAATGGCAGTGCCCCCCCCCCCCCCCCCCCCCCCTTGTGTTCAAAGAGGCTGTAACATATGGAGATTTGAGCCCTGAACCTAACACTAGGCAAATTGGCTTCAACTCAGGCACCACACCTCAAAGGACTGTGGCCTTCTTAAATGGTTTAGCCCCTTAAGCTGAGCTGTAATTAAAGGAAATTGAGGTAGGCCTACAGCAGATTAAGGTAACAGTCTGGCGATGTATAGGTATGTGTGTTTGGTGTGAAATCAAAGGAGTCTGATTGGTCTGTATTTAACACAATAAAGAGTAGGTCTGACAGTGCTGGCAGTCAGTACCAGAGTTTAGTGAGTGAGCCCCAGAGGAAGGTGATTTCACAGGCACATTCAATAATGATCTTTGCCTTATTGATTAAAATAGATGTTGTAAGCAGCACATTTAAAGATCACATCATATCCTATATATTTTTATGTTTAGTGGATAAAACATGCAGCAGCGTCACACAGATTTTGGTGTGTGTTGATTGTGTCTTTGCTTTTAGATCATGTAATAATCACTTCATCAATTTAATTATTTATGTTTTATCTACATGCCCAATTGACTACTGATGGTTGTTAGTAGTGGCAAATTCATTAAATTACCTTATTTGAAATTATTAGTCATAATATATAATATGCTTCAAAAATATTTTGAGTTATTTAAACAAAAAATTTGTAAAAATCTAACTTTTCTGTTTATTGAGGAATATTAAGGGATATTATAGAAGCTATCAAGTTGTTGTGGGCTGCCAATAAGATAATACTATTTTAATTGCCTACCATTTCCCCCAACTCTTTAATTTGCCAATTCGTGGCTGATGGAAGCCAAGTTTTGGTCTCATTCAAACGCGCCCACAGTTTGATCTAAGCGCATTTGTGTTCATGCAAGAGTTTATCTACGTGACTGTGAATGCACGGGCTGGATCACCTTTTGCTCTTCTGCGCGTTCTTCTTGTCCCTCTTGTTCATGACCACGGGCACGCAGCTCGTAAGCTCGGTCCAGTCCGCGTGTAGCCCACAGCTCCAGCCCGTGGAGAAGCGCGAAAAGAGCCAGGACTCGGCTTTACCGGGCCGGTGGCAGGTGCACTTCCTCTGGCCGGGCATACAGTCGCACGGCTGCTCCAGCTGGATGTTCTTGACCAGGTGCCGCCCGAACGTGGTCCCGCCCGTCTTTTGAATGTGCAGAAACACCATGACGTCGTCCCCTCGGATATCGAAGTCAACGTGCCTGTCCAGGTCCCGTTCCGTAAAGTTAAATTTGGTGGTGATCTTGGACGGAAGATCCTCGTCCGCCTCGTCCGAATAAACAAACTCAAAGCCAGCGGAGTAGCGCTGGAAAAGCCCCTTCTCGTCCCCTCGGAAGTAGCAGGTGTTGCTGTCCGCAGGGCACACGTACTGGTACCCGATCATCAGGAACAGCACCGCTGCAATGGGGACTAACAGAAGTCTATTGAACTTCTCCTCCATAATGCAAACCTTTAAGTCACTCCGTGGCCACAAACATGAACATCACGTCCCGGTGGTTCCCCTGCTCTCCTCGTACCATCCTGTCACTTGAAAACCTCGCTGCAACTTTGGTCCCGCGCGGCTCTACTCTGCGTCCCGCATCAGAGCAGCTCTCAAACTTTCTCCCGTCACTCAAAGCCGTCACTTTCCTGTGCACATGTCCTGATTTAAATATGCCTGATACTTGACATAATTAGACGTCTACACTGCGCTAACACCTTGGGGACGTCAGAGGAGCGGCACATCCCCGCGCCTGCACTGTGCACGCTCGGCTGTCCTGCCAGTGTCAACTGCTGATCACTATCTGAGCCAGGAGCGCCACGACAAGTGCCTGGAGCTCCCGCCGCCGCTTCCGTGCAACACTTACAAAATCAAGGTCCTAATGGCAGCGTAAATCAAACACTTAAATAGAATATAGGACTTGAATGAATAGGCCATATACAAAATATACGTGTAAGCTTATATGATTGAACAACTATTAAGTTGACTAACTTCTAGTCAGTTCTAATCTGCTTAGACACTTGCATTTTATCTGCTAAGTCATTCATATGATCAACCCCAAACCTTCAAACATCTAAATTAGTTTTTGTAACAAAAACCGTCTATATCTTTTAAGATCCACATCCAGAGGGACATTACAATTGAAGAAGCATAATCTCACGTTGTAGCCCGGTATAGACCTCCTTTTATTTTGAAAAGGGAACAAATCTTGTTCCGCCTGCATTTCTCCGTCTTTGGCTCTACATCTGCGCCAGTCATCTGTCCCGGCTACCGACTCTGTGACGCAACTCGCTCTCTAATCTCTCTTTCTTTCTCTCTGTCTCTCTCACACACACATACACACACTCTCACACACACCCGGCAATTTGAGCGTTCCGTTGGAAAACCATTGTCTACGTTGTGCATTCTAGTTACAGATTTTAAAACAGCTAAAAGTGGAATTGTATTCGTAGCTTGCGGAGTTGCAATTTTTTTCCGGCCACTTGCTTGTCCTGGGCATGATATCAATAATTTCGATGATGCATTACGGGCTGTTAGATCTATGTCACTGTTTTGTCACGTGGTTGATAGATTGCCGCTCAGCCAGCCAAGTGTAAAGAGTTGAATCCGCGGCGAATCATTTCAGCACCATGGACAGATACCAGCGCGATCGTGTCACGTCAATAATTGGCCCTGCGCGAGCTGGAGGAATGCTCGCGAGCTCGTCATCACCTTCCTACGACAAGCTTGAATACATGACGTATAATAGATTCACACACTGATCAGGGCACAGTTCTGTAACATGTGGAACTTCTGACCTGATATTTTTGATATGGTTTCTGACCTGATATAGTTAAATAAATAAATAAATATATAAATATAAATATAAATATTAATATATATATATATATATATATATATATATATATATATATATATATATATATATATATATATATATATATATATATATATATATATACACAATGTTTTGGGGGTTTTTTTTGGTAATTGTGTCAACTGTTTTTAACAGTAAAATCATCTTTTTGTTTGAACAGATCTTCTTGAGCAGGGAACAACTTTCTAACATCGCCAAAAGCTCACTAGAGTCAATTTTGCGCAATATAGGATATTTAAGAAAAAAACTACAAATTCACAATGGCTTGCACTAAAGGCATTTGGTCTTGCAGTAATGGATTCTGTGTAAGCTGCACTGATCAAAAGCTTTTGTTATTTTGCCTAAGAAATATCCATCAAGGGATTTAACCGCGTGCACTCTAGTATGTATTCTGTTCAATCCTCTTTGTGAAGCATGCCCTCTTTGGCCCCTGGCTCTGACACGGGCTTAATCTGTATGGGGGGAGTTTTACCGCTCCCATTGTCTCTAAGAGGAGACCACCATCCTTCACCCAGGGCCCAGGTGAATCCGTTATGTTAAGACAGGGCGCATGTGGTTTTCTAAAGGTCAAACACAAGTTGGACGATAGCCTGAGAGATGCTAATATCCTGTGTCAGTCTGCTCTTTACCTGCAGGCATCCTCTTATAGCCAGATATGACACGCTGCTTTCTACAAATGGCATGCTGATTAAAAAGTGAGCATAGTCCCTGATGGCGAAGGACGAGGAAAAAAAATCTGCATTAATGTTTTGTGCACTGAAGCAAGACTTGTGTTGTTCTGGCTGTGCAGCGGGGATATTTACGAGGTCCCTGGCGCTCACTACACCAGCCTTATGAGAAATAACCCTGGGATGTGCTGAATCAGCTGACTGCAGCTATATACTGTACAGCTCTCCCAATAATGGAACTCAAGCTTCCTGGAAATTATGATTGGATTGGGGATTTCTATTTTATATCTGTTTGGGTTTTGTTTTGTGTATCAAAACCCTGCATGACTGGGCGGCTATGTTTTTGCTATTTATGGGGATTAACTATTGATTTTGAAATGATGTGAAGAGTTGTGGCGGTGAGAAGTTTTGAGCTCCTGCAGTGGTAGCCTCCCCCTGGCGGGCAGAGAATAGCTGGGCATTCCGAGCAAATGAGCAGCCAGAGATGCTATTAAAAGAACCAAATGAAATCTGGGAGTGCTGCGCAGGAAAGATTAAGAAAAATTAAAGGGAAAATGTGAAAGCTGTTTTTAGCTAGGAGCCATATCAAACTCCAGGGCATCAATACAAATATGTGCCTCTTGCCACCAGCATTGTAACTCATACTTTGTGAAAAGCAAAGTCGCATTAATCATCCTAACAAGCCTAAATACACAATGGAAACCTTACAGAGCACTTTGAATTTTGGTTTGTTTTTCTGTCTGGTTTACAACTGGGAAATAAAATGTATTCAGTCTAATACTGTGGGTCTCAAACTGTGGTGCAGGCCCCAGATGGGAAGTAGGTGTGAGTATGAGTTTGAGATTGACAACTATAAAAAAAAAATCACAAAAATGTTATAGCCAGTCATGATATAATGTTGTTTCGTATTTTGTTTCATTCATACATGTTTAACACGCAAATTCTGCATAATTATGTTCAGTCAGACAGTAAGCACTCTGTTCCACCTTCTGATGTCACGTGGTAATACAGGAAATACTCCACTGTGTTTTTAAACTCCATATACCTTCACTAGAATCATTTGGATAATTTCAACTTTGGAATTCCCCATCTCTACTGAACAAAAAGTAAAAAGTAGTTGTTAAGTAAACTACTGCTTCATGACATTACAAGGTGGAACAGAGCATTTTGAACTCTGATGTAGGCTAATAATAAAGGATTACTCAAATGTGTGTGAATGAAAAAAAAACAAAAAACAAAAAACACAACTTCAGGTATGTTTTTGATGAAGTAACAACATTCTAACTCACTAGAATCCATTTTGCATAATATAGAACCTTTAACTGATTTCACCACAATTTTCCATTTTAGATACTTTTTAGTACCGGTAATGCTGATCTCAGTCCTTTGATTGACTTATCTGTGCTTTGAAAGGCACATCTAAGGTTGTACTTTGTGTAGTATATTTTAAGCTTCAAGTCAATCACACAGCTGGAGAGCAGTGTCTTGGCAGGTGCTGCTGTTCTTGTGTCTATATTTTTTTTTCTCATGTCATTTTTCTTCTGTGTAGGCCCAAATTCCCTCTGACTGAAGCCAGCTGACCACCGGGATCCAGTGGTCACCTCATTACAGGCCTGGGAGCACAGCCTGATACCACTTCTCCATGCGCTGTCTGCTGACTCACTCATACTTCTGCATTTGTTTGTGGTGCCTGGCAACCTGTTGTTATTGGTATTAGTACAACAGGTGAGACATTGTCAGAGTGGTGTTATACTGATTCATGCACCATTATCATCTTAAATCTTCCATTCATAGTTTAGATATATAAGCAAAAAAATTTGCGTAGATTAGAGAAATTAATTTGTGTTCTGAATTCCATAACTTCTTATGTACACAGAAATTGATGAAAGAAAATATAAGAAACACCTTTGCTGAAATAATGTTTAAAATATTGTGTTTCTTGTGTGTAAATCAGTATGGATCTTTCTGAAATAGATCTCTTTACTTTCTATAATTTCCAACATATTTTTCTACTTTTTGTTTTTTGACTAGTATAAAACTATAATTTATATTTGCAACAGGTATTATCCCACCAAATTAAGTAAAAATGTGAGAATCATCCAAACTTGTCATATGCACTTTGTTTTATACACATACAGTAGTTCATATTGTTAAATTCAAAATATCTGAAGCATTTACTTATTGAAACGAATGATTATAACAGTGATTATCCAAGTTTATTATAGTTTTACTAGTCATTTAATCATGTTAACAGTCTAAAAGCCCAATTAAATCATATTTATTTTTTTCTATGATAATAATGAGGACATCAGTTATTTTTTACATTAGCACATGTGTTTCAGGATTCACCAATAAAATCTAAAATTTTCCATTGATAGTTTATATGTACAAGCCAAGAAATTAGTATGTTCAAATAAATGTTTGTTTTGCTTAAATCAAGCAGTTTTTGTACACATACAGTACTCAATATTGTAAATTTTAAATATTTGAAGCATTTACTTATTTTAATGAATGATTATAACGATGATTTTCCAACTTTATTATAATTAGTTTAGTTACATAATTATGTTAACAGCCCAAATGCCCATTGAATTAATGATTATTTTCCCATGATAATAATGAGAATGTTGTCTTGACAGTTATTTTTTCCGTTACTGCTTGTGTTTGAGGATCCAGTAGATGTGTGAAGTCCTCTGTCCTCACCTGGATGCCCTGGATACTCGACTCTCCACTCTGTTTTGGATGACTGCAGCACTGTTGGACTGCGCTCGGCTCCTTGGCAACCAGGCGGAGAATCCCCATCATTGGCCCAGTAACTTCCCAGAGAAAAGCTGTGATACAATCTACATTTTCTCACAGGTAATTGAAGCTTGCTTGATGGTGATGTGTCCTGTGGTGTTCTAATCAGCCTTCCT